TAGTCATACGCTGGCTGAAACCTCCTGTCAGTAAACTGTAGCCATAAACATGATTTGCCAAAACCTGTGTTGTTCATAACATCCTTAAAAAGTGAGGCATGTGACGTGGCCACAGCTGCTCTGGGTGCCAGGCCATGGCTGCTCCTCCTGCTACTGCTCCTACATTTTTTTGTTTGCTTGTTTTTTTGAGATAAGCCCTTGTTATGTAGTTTAGGTTGGCCTTTAACTCATTACGCAGCTACAGTTGGCCTTAAACTTGCTGCAATCCCCCTGCCTCAGTATCTCAGGTGCTAGGATTACCGGTTCGTCACATCATGCCCAACTAATAATAATTTTTATTATTTATGAAAGTAACATCCAACTGAAATTTGTAATACTACTCAATGTAGCCTATGTGTAAGTTGCAATATATATGTTCTAGTTCAACAAAGAAATATAGAGAAATATACATAGTATGTATTTAACAAAAAAAGTTTTTTCTTACTTTCTACAGTACTGGGTATCAAACCCAAGGTCTTGCAGGTGTTAAACTTATATTCTACTAAGGGCTGCATCTCCAGCCTTCATTTCTTTATTTATTTTTTTTTTTTCTTGTGTTGATTTCATACAAATGTAGACTGGGCTCGTTTTTTTGTTTTTGTTTTTTTTTGGGTTGTTTTGTTTTGTTTTGTTTGAGAGTAAGAAAATGTATTGGGGAGTAAAAAGAGATAGGAATAGCTCCTGAGAGATGGCGGGAAGTGTCCTGAATGAGTTACTCTAGCCTTCATTTCTTATTAAAAAGAGTTAGCCAGAACATTTTAATCACCCAACTAATCTGGTACTTTTAACCTGATCTAACAAAAGAAAAGAAAAATAAGGACTAACATTCCCATCAGTGGATTCTTTGTATTCCAAGATTACCTTCTAAGATAGTTTTCCTCAGATAACCACTACCCTTCACTCTACAAAGCTCTTTCTTATATATATAATACCCATTACAATCTAAAAATTATCTTATTTGCTTATTGCTTCTTCCCAATATAAAGTTAAGGGGGGAGGTTTCTCTATCTTGTTATTATCTCCAATGCTTAGAGCACTCCAACACTTTATAGATATTCCAACACTTTACAACACACAAGTTTTAAGCACATGAATTTTGACTACTGTTGCTCATTACACTTTAAATTGTACTAGTTTATTAAGAATTATCAGTTTATTGTACAAAGACTGAGTCTTAAAAGTCATAATTAAATGAAGGATTTGAGCTGGGTGTGGTGGCGGACTCCTGTAATTCCAGCACTTGGGAGGCTGAGGCAGGTGGATCGTTGCAAGTTCGAGACCAGGCTGGGCTATAAAGTGAGCCCAAGGCAAGCCTGAACCACATAGTGAGATCCTGTCTCAAAAAGACAAAAAACTCAAATACAAAAGACAAATTGAAAAAAAAAGACAATAAATAACTAAATAAATAATGGATGGACTTGGGGATACGGCTCAGTGGTACAGTGGTTATGTTTAGTACACACAAAGTTCTGGGTTTTAAAAAAAGCAAGTAAATGAGTACAAAGAAAGAATGAATGCAATACCACTGCACTGACTCTTAGTATTCATTTAGGACAAGAACAGACAGAAAACAATACATAGCAATCTCTGTGTTACCTTTGGGATTGGATGTGAGAAATACTATAGAAAAGTTACACTAAAAAGAAAAATGGCCAGGCATGGTGCACACACTTGCAATCACGCACTCTGGAGGGCTAAGGCAAGAGGACTGTAACTTTGAGCCCCGTCTAGGCAACTTAGCAAGACCCTGTCTCAAAATTTTAAAAAGATATGGGGAAAAAAGAGGGCAATGGACATGTAGCTCAGTGCAAAGATCTTAGGTTCACCACCAGTACCCCTTACACCTCTCAAATAATAAAAGTATCTGAACTAAATGTAGAAAAGAAAAGGTGAATGAATGGCTATCCAAGCTGCATCTATCTAATTTCAAAATGTAAAAATCTGAAAGTTTTTGAACACCAGTATGACACTGGGAAGTTTTTGGTTTTAGAACATTTTATATATTGGTATTAGGAATGCCTGACCAGCAAAGTCCATGCAAATATCCAAAATCTGAAAAACTGAAATCTGAAGCATTTCTGGTCCCTCAGATAAGGGATAAATAAAATCAATCAATTACTTCTCTTCCCTTCCTTTTTTGCTTTCTGTGACCAGGTCTCACTATTAGTTCAAACTGACCTTGAATTTTTGGTCTTCCTGCTTCAGCCTCCTGAGTGCTGGGATTATAGGTATGAGCCATCAAGCACAGCCTGTCCCAACATATTTAATATAGTGCTTCCATATGTGATCATTAGGATTCTCTCTTAGGAGGGAAGAGAATCTTATTTGTAGTACATAGGCATCATTGATCACAATCACTGAATGGTTTGCCTGTATGTGTGCACGTGTGAGTGCTTGTGCTCCACCCCCGAGCCTTCAGCTCCAAGAGTTCCTTTGGGGGGTTTTGTTTTGTTTTGTCTCTGTTTTTTTGAGACAGAGTCTATGTTGTTCATGTTGGCCTTGAGCTCGCTACGTAGTTCAAATGGCCTTGAACTCATAGCAATTCTGCTGCTTCAGCCTCCCGAGTGCTGGGAGGACAGGTGTGTGCCATCACACCCAGCCCCACCATGTTCCATTTTTAAGAATTTCAATATTCTTTACATTGTTAAGAGTCTGTACTGCTGCCCCTTCCAAGGGCAACACCAAGAAAGACCCATGTGAATCAGAAACAGCACTTCTTACCAGAGAAAAAGAACATTTCACCATATATTCCTATATAATTCAACAACTTACCATATGTGATTTTGTCTTTTCAAAATAGGTAAGAACCTCTAGTGCACACCTGTAATTATAGTTACTCAGGAGGCAGAAGCAGAAGGATCACAAGTTCTAAGTCAGCTTGGAACACTTAGTAAGATCCTGTCTCCAAGTAAAATAAAAAGGACTAGGGATATAGTTTGGTACTCCCTGGGTTCAATCCCCAGTACTGAAAAACAAAAACAAAAACAAACAAACAAACAAAAAAAACACAAAGAAGTAAGCCACAAATGCCACCAAGGACGAAAGCAGTGCTGGTGTTGATCAAGGAAGCACACTTTCTTCATTTACTGTCCTGAGGCCCTCACTCTTGGATTCGGGGGTCTCACGGGTACCAAGTTTGATAGCAGAGCCATACCCTCGGCCCCTAAGCTGCTAATTCTTAAAACTGCAACTAAATGATTTGGGTAGCTACTGTTACTGAACAAATCATGAGTGATTTTGATGTATAACCAGGCAGGTGCTAATATGAGGCATGAACAAAATACACAGCAAAGGCACAAAGGCAAAAAAATAGGGCCAAGCTGGGTGGCTCTTGCCTGTAATCTCAGCACTCGGGAGGCTGAGGCAGGGGGATTATTGTGAATCTGAGGTCAGCCTGGGCTATAAGGTGAGTCCAAGGTTGGCCTGAACTGCATGATTAGATCCTGTCTCAAAAAGACAAAAAACCAACCAAACGAACACCCAGCAAATGCTTAAACTTTTAAAAAAATTTCTAATTGTTTTTGTAGTCACGTTTCCAGTACAAAATGATTCTACTGATTGTGGGGAGGTGGTACACGCACAAAACATGTCTTAATTTTTTATTTATCTTCCTCTCCCCATGTTTAAATTTTTAATAATTTATTAAAGTAAAAGACACATTGCCATTAATCTTCCTCAAAATCCCTCTCTTGCTTTGAACACACCCTTCCCAATCATTCCTGCTACTTTCTGAAGCAATTCTGAAATCCTGTTTTATTTTGTTTTGGCACTGGGGATCAACTTCACAGCCTCACGCTTGTCAGGCAGGTGCTTATGCCACTGAGCTAAATGCCCTGTCTCTGAAGTCCTCTTGAGAAATAAATGTAGCTGCTGTTGAGCACCGTCCCAGAAGGCAGGCTACAGTGTCCTCCCCCACCAGAACTGGCACTGTGACCTTCAGCTCTTCCCAAAGTCAAAATGACCACGAAGGGTTCAGAACACTGAGGCAGCCACAAGAGGGACAATGTTTATGAGGGAGCACTTCCAGAACCAGTTCAGAAAGTGACAGTAATGATGGGATGTGTTCAAAGCAAGGGGGGAGAATTTTGAGGAAGGTTAAAGGCAATGAGTTATCTATTGTAATAATTTTTTTAAAAAATTTTAAGGGCCAAGATGTAGGTCAATGGTATAAGCACCTGCCTGGCAAGTCCAAGGTCCTGAGTTTGATTCAGGAAAGAAAGTGAGAAAGAGAGGAAGAGAAGACAGGAAGAGAGAGAGGGAGAGAGAAGGCGAAGGGAGAGAGCAAAAGAGAGGGAGAGAGAGAGAGAGAGAGAGAGAGAGAGAGAGAGAAAGAAAGAAAGAAAAAAAGAAAGAAAGAAAGAAAGAGAAAGAAAGAAAGAAAGAACGAAAGATAGATTTTTAAACATTCACTGTTTTTTTTTTTAGTATTTGGGATTGAACTCATGACCTCATGCATGCCAAGCAGGCACTTACACTGCTAAGCTAAATCCCCAGCTCATTGAAATAAGAGTTACCATGATCTATAAACACGTTTAGTAAAAGCTTTTTTATTTTTTAATTTTTTTTTTTGAAACAGGATCTCACTTTGTAGCCCAGGCTGGCCTCAAATTCATGGTGATCCTCTTGCCTCAGCCTCTTGAGTGCTAGGATTACAGGTGTGCGCCACCACACCTAGCCAGTAAAACTTGTTGAAAACTTTGGGCTGAGTAACACGATTATACACTTTGATAGAAGGTTTTAGCCCCCAAGAGGAGGAAGAGGACTAAATGACACAGCAGTATCACAGGATAATTTCTATTAAACCATACAATTATTATGAATGAACTGAAATATTCAATGAAGAATGGACTAACAATGCAAATCAAATGAAGAAAGATATCTCATTGCTTATAAAGGTGGAATTATTGAAATTATTCTCTACATAGACAAATCCTAAGCAAAAATTTTGCACTCATACTTACCTTTCTGAAAAATCAGATTCTATAAATTCTCTAGCCCGTTTTCTATCACTAAAAAGACAAAAAGATAGCATAAACATAACACATAAACACAACTGTATTTCATGAATATTATAACTTGTCTAATTCTACACTGAACAAAACAAACAAACAATAGGCACATAATATAAAGACTTCATTTTGTCACTAGACAAGACATGACCACACAATAACCATTAAATTGGAGGGAGCTCAATCAATACTGAGGGAAGAAAACATTACAGTTTTATAAATGAGACTTTACGGACCTCTTCTGTCTCATGTGGGTATCTATACATGCATGTATATGTATTAATATGAATGTGAATTGAAGTCTCAGGACTAGGGCCTGCAATTTAGCTTAGCAGCATAAGTGCCTGCTTGGCACATGGAAGGTTGAGAGTTCAATCCCTGGTACCAAAAAAAAAAAAAAGTCTAAGAACTGTTGTCTTATTAATTCACTTACTCTTGAAGCAAAGAGAGTCTTACTCAACCAAAATTTAGCATTTGCTAACACACACACACACACACAACAGGATCCCCAGTGCAGTGCATTACCATGTAAATAACTTCTAAAGTGACAAAGGAGGTCTCGAGTCATTTATCATAATCTTTCTTTCTTTTTTTTCCTTCCTTTCCTTTTTTCTTTTCTTTCCTTCAGTCTTTCTTTCTTTCTTTCTTTCTCTCTCTCTCTCTCTCTCTCTCTCTCTCTCTCTCTTTCTAACAGAAGGATGGGGTGCTAAAATGCTAAGGAATAGAAAAAGACTAGCAAGGGTATCTTACAGACAAAGATGAAACATGTAGGGTTTGCCACTAAAAATAGCAAAGGAGTGACACAGAAGGGATAGTGATTTTATTGCCAAGTGTTGCAAAGAATCAAGGGAAAAGTTAATGAAAACTTTAATACATTTGGCCTATTTTTTCTAGTTCCTTTTCTGTTAAGGAAGGAAGAGCTGATAAGGAAATTTTCAGAATAAACATTTTACAACTCATTTCTTATGTGTTAAAACAATATAAAATACAGTTTTTCTCTCTAAAGCAGTTAAAAGTTGTAATCATAGGAAACAGTCCGATTCAGTTTTAAAAAGCTGAAAGACTCTGTTATAAGTCATTGTACTATTTTTCTGTGTAAGAGTGGATATAGCCAGGCATGGTGACAAATGCCTGTAATTCTAGCACTCTGGAAGGCTGAGGCAGGAGTCCAAATTGTAGCCCCGCCTGGGTAACTTAACAAGACCCTACGTCAAATGGCTGGGGATATAGTTCAGTGTGGATGCCTTGGGTTCAATTCTCAACACCACAGTGGGCAGGTGTTACACTAGAGATAATTTATGTCTCAGGCATAAAGTAAAATAGGCAATTTTAAAGGAAAAACATTAGTTTTTAAGAACTAGGCTGAAATAAAAAGAGATAACACGACAATACAGAAAATAGGTCAGAATTTTGTTTAAGGTTTTGAATATAGACATTTTTCACGTTCTTACCTGGGAACCCAGCCAGCCGCTTCTGTGATATGTGTCTGAGTGACCATCGCTGGTGCAGGAGTGTATGGGCTCCCGATCAGAACACTTCCTGAACTGGTGAGTCTCTGTGGTGTGCTTATAATCTGCAGAATGAGGAACAAGACGATTTAGTAAGAATTGGTAAGAATTTACTAGGTGTTGCTGATTGTTAATCAACATACAAGGAAACCTTACTGTCCGAAAAGCATTTGCTGTCATTCACCCAAAATGTGATAAAAATATAAGCAGTACCTTTGATTTACTTATATTCTAGGATTTTTTTGATGGGGCTTGAGCCACAGTCTCCCTATGTAACCCAGTGGTTGACTTCAAACTTTTGATCTCTCTCCCTCAGCCTCTTGAGCACTGGGATTACAATCAAACACCATCATGAGAGCTCTAATATATCAGGATCACAAAGCACAAGTGTCCTGAATATTGACATGAGGCCACAATGCAGGTACCAGCAATTGAGTAACAATCTGGATACAAATGCATAGCAATTAAATGGGCAGCTAACAATGTCTTAAACCAGGAAAATGAAAAGCTTTCAAATTAAGGGAACAAACTACATGCCTACAACCCCAACTATTCAGGTGGCTGAGGCAGAAAGATTTTGAGTTTGAAGGCAACTGAGGGAGACATTTTCTCAAAAATAAACAGACTAGATAGGACTGGATATTTAGTTCACTAGTACAGGGCTTACGCAGCATGTATGAGGGCTGAGTTCAATATCAACACCATAGGAAAAATAAAAAGGAAACGGGACAGTAAAACTTAGAACCAGAGTAACAGCAAATCAGAACTTTGAAATAATTATAACTAATGAATTGTAAATAATGTGATAAACATTTTTGTATGATCTTGACTTTTACTTCTATTTCTAAGTAGAAATTAATGGAAACAAGACTATTTTAATTTTTAAAAAGGCTCTTTATGTTACCAAATTTCTTTCCAAGTATTTTATTTTTCACTGATGAAAAGAATATGGTTTTTTCCAAAGATATTTATAAAAATATAAAAATCAGCCTTAGTAACTGCTTTAAAAGTATTAAAAATACTTTTAAAGTATTTTAATATTTTAATATTAATTTTAAAAATACTTTTAAAGTATTTAAAAATATCAGCCTTAGTAACTGCTTTAAAAGTATTTTTGCAAAAAATAAATAAGTACATAAAGGTTATGCCCAGGGAATAGAGGTGTTAATGGAAAAAGATCAATGCTATGTGGATAACTGATGAAGCCGCTCCTGGGTATGTAAGGGTTTTCTCTATGTAGTTGTGAAAATTCTCATGATAGTAAAATTTTAAGTCCATAATAAGAAGCCAAAAGTAAACTTCTCTTTCTCTCTTTCTATTGTTTTGCCTTTTTGAGGCAGGGTGTCACTGTGCAGCTCAGGCTGGCCTTTAACTCATTTTGTAACCAAGGCTGGCCTCAAACTCACAGTGATTCTCCTGCCTCAGCCTCCAGAGTACTGGGATTAGAGGTGTCACCACTTTTGGCCCTATAATTGTTATGTAAATCTTAAATAATTCTAGGGGCTGAGGATTTAGCTCAGCGGCACATGCGCCTGCCTTGCAAGTTTAGTTGAGAGTTCAATTCCAGGTACTGATTAAAAAAAATTCTATTTTTATTGACTCATACAAGTTGAAATGCTAATTTTTATCTTCCTGATCAGCTGAAATCCATTCTGTATCTGAAAGTGATTAAGTTAGTTGCTAACTTGCACCATAAAACACCAAAGAGGAGTCAAAAATATTCCAAATTGTTCAACTGCAATCAAAGATTTGGAGTCAAGGGGTTGGGGATTTAGCTCAGCTGCATAAGCACCTGCCTTGCAAGCAGGCAGTTGTGAGTTCGATTCCTGGTACCGATAAAAAGGAAAAAGACAAAAAAAAAAAAAAAAGATTAAGAGTCAAACAATTTGAACTGTAAAAACAGTTCAGAGTTAGTTTACTGGAGTTGTCAACATTTATTATTTACTAAATTACTTCAAAAACGTCAGTTGGTTTCTGTGTTACACCACATTAGGAGTAGGGAACTATGAGTACTTATGAATATGTTGGAGATAATTTTAATGAGTTAATTCTGTAATTAGAAAAATCAAAACAAGGGGCTGGAGATTTAGCTCAGTGGCATAAGCACCTGCCTTGCAAGCAGGCGGTCATGAGTTTGATCCTTGGTACCGATAAAAAAAAGAAAAATCAAAACAAAAGATAATGCTAACAGATGTCTTGAGAATTCTGATACCTGCAATATGCCAACTGCATATTTCTCGTGAGGTAAGCTTACCTTGCGAGAAAGCATAAAGCTAGCAATGTGTTTGTATTTTTCATCATATTCTGCCTTGTATCCTTTTTTGTGCATGTAACAAAGTTTCACCATGCTGGACTCAAACTCATGATGATCCTCCTGCCTCAGTCTTCCAAGTGCTGGTATTACAAACACCACGCCCAGCTACTTGTACTGTAAGAATTCTGTATGTTGATACCTTCTACTTGCCACACTTCTTGACTTCCCCCATTTCAATATGAGATATAGTATCTGAAGGTACAGGAAAGTGCCTTGCTCAGTTATGGCCCTTATAGGGTTTAGCACATTATAGGGGACACTCAGGAAAAGCACATTCATTTACTGAACTGAGACAAAGGACTCAACTTTTTAATTGATGAGGGGAACTTTCTTGGTTGGCTGACACAGCAGAAAATGTTATGGAAAATGTAGTAAGCAAATGTAAAGTGCACAGTGCTCCCCAATTCCTTCAATGCATTTCAAAACATTCTCTATAGTGCTGGCTCTAGGTATGGACAGTGTAGGAAAGAAAATCTGAGTATCTGATTAGTTTCTTGTCTGTTCCTAATGAGATTTTCCACCACGCTATTTTAAGCTTTCCAACACACCTCTGAAACAGACCATATAACTTGTGCACTATTATTGCCAAGGCCTGTTTTTCTCCATTATTAGTGGCCTATACTCTTGATTTTACTTGATTTAAAGCGCTTCATGGAGAAAAAAAAAAAAAAGAGGACGACGGAAAACAGGACAAACAGAAAAACTAGCTATCTGCATTGAGGCTGACTTTCAAAATGAATTGCTGTGGTCCAGTTAACCTTTAATTCTTTGTCTTACTGTCACTCTGTCAGGTGATATTCCTTGTTGATCTGAGTGATTAATAACACTGACTCTTTTTTCTTAGCATGGTACACAGTAATTCCTCAAGAAACTAAACTGATGCTTGATTTAAACAGGAAACACAAATTCAAAAGTGCATGTGAATTTCTTGAGTATAATTATGACGGCCTGAAGAAACAAAGAAGGCACACTGGTGATGCGTATCTTCTCAGCTACTCCTGAGAGGCTAAGGGAGAGGAAGGTGGCTGAGTCCAGAAGTTCAAGGCCAGCCTGGGCAACACTGCCTCAAAATTCAGTCTTTGGAGAACCTGGAAGAATACTAGTTTAGAAACATGGTTTATATTATCATGAAACCTAATTTTGAAATTCCAAATGAAAATTGGAGGGATGGGGCTGGGGATTTAGCTCAGCGGCATAAGCGCTTGCCTTGCAAGCAGTCGGTCATGAGTTCGATCCCTGGTACCGATAAAAACCGAAAAAGACCAAAAAAAAAGAAAAAAGAAAAAAAGAAAATTGGAGGTAAAAAACATACTTTTGTAACTTTGAGATTCTCTTCCCACCCGCAAAACTTCAGAAACCCTAATTTAAATGTAAACATTTGGTTCTCTAAACCATCCATTGTTAAGTTATGAAAATCTTATAGAAGTTGAATGGCATTCTGAAGATTTTTCTGCTCTCAATCAAAATATTTTATGTACTACTGCCATCTACAGTTAGAACTAAGTCTGGAGCGTAAGTGTTGTGAAGGTTAAAAAGGAAAATAATTTTAAAGTATTATATTAAACAATTCTGTTAGCCAAATTTTGGTTTTAATTAAAAGTCGCTTTTATATTCTAAAATATGAAAGCCATGATTTTATTTCACATATAAGATAAACATCCTATATGATAATCTGTAAGCAAAGAGCTAAGCACTTCAAATAAGTTGCTGCCCAACGAGTTTCTGTAACTACTGAAAATGTTTTTCATGGTGTCTTAAAATTCCTATCTACCCGTAAGATATGACTTCCAAGAGACACAAAGTTAAAAGAACAAGTAGAGAAAGAAGAGCCCAAGGAACAGATGAGTGAGCTTTTATCTAAGTATTCTGTAATTCAACAAAAAAATGTTAAAAAGCAATGCAGAGGAAGGTGTGGGGTTGCATGCCTGCAATCCCAGCACTCTGGAGGCTGAGACAGGAGGAGGATTGGAGACTTTAAGGCCGGCCTGCACTACACAGCGGAGATTATGTCTCAAAAAATCAAACAAAGGCATGAGAGAAGACAACCAAGAAACAGTTCTAACTGGGTTTCTTAGGCCATTCAGAAGGTTATAATGAAATCTAAGACTAGATAATTTATAGACAGCATAAACTTATTGTTCACGGTTCCAGAGAATGAGAAGTGTGATGTAAACATCAGCAGACTTCTTCACTTTCAAAAGAGCACCTTCCTCTAAGGGCGGATGGGGCTGGGTTCCCATTGACCTCTTTTATAAGGACCCTCACCCCATTTATTCCCTCAGGACTTAATCACTTCCCTTAAGGCCTCACTTTCACTTAGCATCCCACAGTGGGGGTGAGGCTTCAACATTAATTTTGGAGACACATTTCAGACCACAGCATTTCACTCCAAACCATGCCCCCAAATTCATGTCTATCACACATGCAAAATATATTCATTTCATCCCAATAGCTCTACAAATTCTGTAAAGTACTAAAAATCCTGATTTGCCCCAGCAACTCAAAGGGTCAAATCACATTCAAATCAGATATGGGTGAGACTCAAAAGTGCCATTTATCCTGGAGCAAAATAACCTCAGGCTATGTAAGCCTGTGACTCAAAATGCTTCCAAAGTACAAAGGTGAGATAAACAGAGGGCAGGCATTCTCATTCCAAAAGAGAGAAATTAAAAAGAAGAATAACAACAATAGGTCTTGATCAAGCAGGAAACTCAATGGAGCAGACATTAAACTCAGGGCTTAAGAGTAATTTTCTTTGACCTGATTCCCTGTTACTGGACACAAGAGAATGGGTTGGACCCTCAAGGTGCCCCAGGGTTCCATCCCAGGTTTAGGTCACATGTAGAGGTATATGTAGAGTCTCATACTTGTGGCTCTGGAGTCTGAGGCTTTCAGGCAGATTCACCCCTAGCTCCCCTAGGTTGAAGCCGTGAGGTGAGTGAGGGCTCTTCTACAGTGGCTGCACCTCCGCAGCAATTCTCTGCTAGGGCCTTGGGGCTTTGCAAAAGAGTCCTTGAAATGAAGCCGGAGGCAGAAGCAGCCAGACCCCGGAGCTAGGCAGCAGCCACTGCTAAGGCTTAGCACACACCCTCTTTAGGACTAACTCCTGAGGTTGTACCCCACATGGGCCCACCACACGAACACACAGAATGGCTGAGGGCTGTGAAACAATCTGGCAGGCAGACTGTTTTTTCTTCTGATACTGGGGACTGAATCTACAGCCTTTTCATTGAGCTTCTTTTGAGACAGGGTCTTGCTATGTTACTAAACTGCTCAGGATGGGCTCAAACTCATGATCTTTCTGTCTCAGCCTCCAGAGTGCTGGGATTACGTCACCACATGCTGCTGGTGAGCAAAGACTTTAGGTAGCGACTGCTGGAAGCCTTACCTGTTTTGTGTGAGAGGCAATACAATCACTGAGATGCCTCCCAGGTTTCTACGGGCTCCTACCCACTCATAATAAACTACCTCTGGTGTCTCTCCAGAAGAGCATTCCATTCTTTAAAACTTAACCAGGCTGAGAATTTTCCAAATCTTTTAAGTTCTGCTTCCCTTCTAATTATAAATTCCATTTATGATTCTCTTTCTCTCTCTCCTCAAATTTTCTTATGAGTCAAGAGAAACAGTGCCCTGCCTTTAGCACTTTACTTAGGATTTCTTCTACCCAATGTGTTATTTGATTGCCCCTGAGTTCTTTCTTCCACAAAACACTAGGAAGTGAACACAGTTTAGCAAAGTCCTTCGCTACTTTGCAGCAGGGGTGCCCTTTCCTTCAGTTTCCAGTAACACACTCCTCATTTTTATCTGGAAAGGCCTTTACAGTTCATAAGTCTTCCCTGAGGCAACCACTAAAAAGACTGAAATTGTCTCCACAGCTCTTTTCAGCCCTTGCCAGAACTGCCCTTTAAGGCCCATTCATGGGCAACACAGATGGGCAGCTGCTAGCCTATGCCCAGGACGGGGTTCTGAAGCCGTTCCACACTTGCAGGGGTTTGTCAGAGCAGCACCCCACCACTCAGGTTAAACCTGTCTTTGTCCACTGTAATGAAACACTAACAGGTAATCCCATTCCAGAGTGCAGAGTGAGTCCCCAGGACTTAACCACTTCCCGAAGGCTCTGCCTCCTTCCCTCTTACTCCCACAGTGGGGATTAGGCTTTGACAAGAATTCTGAAGGGGACACATTCGGGTGGGGTTTATAACAATCAGGATCCTGCCCATGAATTCAGAACTAAACAAAGCACCTCAGAAGTATGGAGACAAATTAAGGTCTTGTGTGGCCCTGTTTAAGGGAGAACCCCAAATCTCCTTCCTCTTGCTCCTCCAACCTGAGGTTTATAGTAAGTGAGTTAGTAGTACACATGATTCTCATCACTGCCAGAACTAAACTGTTTAAGGGCTTTGCATGCACATTTGTTCAAATTGACAAGGGAAGAAAAGTCATGCTTCCAAAAGAGGAATTTAAATTTGAGTCATAAGTTCAACTAAAATACCAATAAAAATATCTTCTCAAAATAGGAGTACTGTAAAGGCCAGACTCAAGAAAATCTATGTTTAATTTCGGGGCTTAAAAATTATATCTTGAGGCCATGCATGATGGCACACACCTGTAATTCCAGCACTCAGGAAGGCTGAGGCAGGAGGATTGCTGTGAGTCCAAGGTCAACGTGGGTTACATACATTGCAAGTTCAAGATGAGACTGAACTGTACAGACTCCATCTCAAAAACCCAAAACAAAAACAAAAAAATTCAGAGTGGCACAAGCACCTGCCTGGCAAGCACACGGTTGTGAGTTTAATTTCTGGTACCAGTCAATCAGTTATCTTTGGATATTTATATATTTATATAAACTTTTATATATTATATAAACTTTTATTTATATAAACTTTAGTCAGGTTGTCTTATCCATTCACACTTTCAGTGGGTCGGCAGGGGCAAATGTTTAGCAAATATTTGAAAATATACCCTGAGCTATCTTAAATGGGGATGTTTGTCTGAGCTTCCAAACTTTGGTCTCTGTGAGGTTGGAGCTAGATTACATTCCTCACATACTTAACAGTAAATTGTTTTATCGTTAGCTTGAATTCTACAGGTAATTAACAGTCCTCAACTGACCAAGAAAAATGTCATGTCTAGAATGTCATAAAGACGTCCTGAAACCATTAAATTTGTTTAAAAATATTTATCATCTAAATAACTTTGTAATTAAAATGTACTCCACAATACTGTACTTTCTGGGAAAAATTCATTCTTATGGCTCTTAGATGAACAGATGTAAACATTGATAGTATTATTATTATTATTATTATTTTTTACCGGTACCAGGGATCGAACTCACGACCATCCACTTGCAAGGCAGGCGCTTATGCAGCTGAGCTAAATCCCAGGCCCTGACAGCCCTTCTTTAAATGTCGAAGCTCTTTTGTAAGCAGTGGGGAGGTTATTTAAATTAGGTATAGTCTTAGAGCAGCTGAATTCAAGTTCATTTATAAATAAAATTTTCTTTCCCCCTTTTTTTCCTTCCTTCTTTCTGCCAGCTCTCCCTCTGTGCCCCCTATTTGTGGCCTTTCAGTGATCTATACACCCAGCCCTTTTTTCATTCTGAGATAGGATCTCACTAAATCACTGAATTGCCCAGGCTGAGAGGATATGCAATTTTCCTGCCTCTGCCTCCCACAGCACTGGAATTACAGGTGTGTCGCACTATGATTTATAAATAAGACTTATGAAAGTACTATCTACTTTAAGCTCTAGCAAAATTAATGAATGCCTTCAGAGAAACACAACTATTCCTTCCCCATTATTTCTATTGATAAAGATGAATTAATGTATTGTTTTTCCTCCAACTGTTCTCTAATGGAAAGATTTTTCCAATTAATAGTTTCAGCTACAGAATGAACTCCAGGAAGGTCAGGGATATAGCTCAATTGCACAGTGTCTGCCTGGCAAGCATTAGGTTGTGAGTTCAATTTCTGGTTGAAAAAAAAAGAATAAACTATAGTTGATATATTTATTTTATATGAGACTATATTTTAGAGAAGAAAAAAGTTACAAGAAGGAAAAAGGAAGCCAGGCATGGTGACACATGTGTGCAATCCCAGCACTCAGGAGGCTAAGACAGAAGGATTGTGAGTTTGAGTCCAGCTGGGCTATATAACAAGATCCTGTCTCAAAACAACACCAGCCCTGCAAGAGAGAAAAGATATAAAGCATAATACATTTAAATCAATTTGAATAACTTAAACCAAGAGAGGCCTTATATAAGGAGCAAAAACTAGTAAACACAAAGAACCCACAGATTCAAATATGTAAAAAAAAATTTTTTTTTGTCTTTTTCATTTTTATCGGTACCAGGGATCGAACTCACGACTGCCTGCTTACAAGGCAGGCGCTTATGCCGCTGAGCTAAATCCCCAGCCCCTCAAATATGTAAAAATTAAACACCAAAGAGCACAATCTCTTTTTCTTAACACTTTGATTGGCTACACTCAGATAAAAACAAAATGTTTTTTAAATCAGCTGTACCTAAGCACAGTTTTAGTTCTAAGATTTGATAATTTTCTTACCATTTGGGGTCCAACATTCACATTTATTGGTCCTAAGGTTTTCGGTAAAATCTTTGTTGGTGAGTTGGTGCTGGAAACTGGAAATGCAACAAGTGAAATATTACCTGAAACGATATTAAAACAGTTAGTGTTCTGCAACAGCAAGCCCACCTGCCTTCATGAACCCTGGTGGTCCTAACCCCTTTTGCTTAAAGTAGTTTACAAGTACCTAAAAGTAACATTATAAACTAGAAGACTTATTGAAAATCCATTCAGACTGCTTTGCTGTAGCAGATATGATTACTTCTGTTGACTAACTAATCTTACTTTATAAGACATACATTAAAAAATAATTCCAGTTTATTTCACAATTACTAATTGGACTTTTAGTTGGATTTTTAGCGGAAAAATATTTAGAGAACACATAATGGAAATCATAGTTTATATGAAGAGCTGAGAAATAAGATTTTTTTTTTGAGATGGGGTCTTATTATGCTGTGTACACTGGCCTCAAATTCACAATTTTCCTAAATAGCTGGCATTACAGACATGCTACTAACCCTACTAGAGAAATTTAATACATTTAAACAACTGAAACCAAGAGAAGCCTCATAAGGACACAAAAACATTAATATTATATATCAAGAATTCGTATGTCATAGAACTAAAAAGAAAAAGCATGAAGTATAATGTGAAAAGAAAAAATCTTCAAATTTACCATGTAAAAAAAAATATTTTTTTTTGTCTGTTTGAGACAGGGTCTCTCTGTGCAGTTCAGGCTGGCCTTGAGCTCACTTTGTAGCCCAGGCTGGTCTCGAACTTGTAATGATCCTCCTGCCTCAGCCTCCCAAGTGCTGGGATTACAGGTGTGAGCCACCACGCCTGGCTTACCATGTAAAATTTTAATACTAAAAGTTCATATATTTTTAAAGTATCAATCTGATAGGGTTTATTTATTTATTTGGTACTGGGGATGGAACTGACGACCTGGAGCTCGTCAGGCAGGTATTTAGGCCACTGAGCTAAATCCCAAGCCTCAATCTGGTTAAGTTTTAAACTTTTATAACAGTAAAGAAAAAACATGATGCTAACTAGGTGGTGCTAAAGCATGGGATCCATACAGTGTTTTCAAATGATTTCTTTTTCTACTTTTGTTCTTTTTCAGAGAGAGGGCTTCCCTATGCAGTTCAGGCTGGCCTTGAACTCACAGTGCTCCTCCTGCCTCAGCCTCTAGGATTACAGGCATGTGCCACCACACCTGGTTTCTACACTTTTGGTTTTTTCTTACTGTTCCAATCTCCCATGAATGTCATTTTTAAAAAATTTAATTTTACTGGTACATTGTAGATACACATAATTATCACATTCATCATAGAGAACTGTGTCTGTACATGACATTTTTTTTCTTTTTCATTTTCATTGGTACCAGGGATCTAACTCACGACTGCACACTTGCAAGGCAGACACTTATGCCGCTGAGCTAAAACCCCAGCCCTTGTACATGACATATTTTGATTCTTTTTTCCCCAATCTATTCCCTTCCCTTCAACTCATTGATCCTTATTTACAAAAGCTTTGTTTCCATTCCTTTCTTTAAGCTTCTTCTTCTTCTTTTTTTTTTTTTGGTACAGGTAATCAAAATTGATACCTGGTGATTGCCAGGCAGGCACTTATGCCACTGAGCTAAATCTGCGGCCCTTTTTCTTTTTTTTTGGTCAAGCCTTTTTTTTTGCCCCCTACCAGGGATTGAACTCACGACTGCGTGCTTGCAAAGGCAGGGGGGCTTATGCCGCTGAGCTAAATCTCCAGCCTCAAGGCTCTTTTTAAAACGTTCCCTTTCTTGCTTTCCTTCTCCCTCCTCCCATTTGAACATTTTCTTCCTATTTCCCAATATCTGTCATTTTGATCCTTATTTACTCTTTCAGCTTTTCACACCAGAGACACAATGTATACACTCTTTAAAATGGGGTAGAGTGATACTAAGAAATTCACCCCAAAGTAATTACTTTTCACACCACACTAATACCAGCCAGTGAACTCCTCTAGACAAACTTCAGCTTATAGAAGAGATCAACGTAACAAGGAGATCACATACGATATATGTGAAAGAAAGTCAAAGCTGAAACACTGTGGGAAAGCAGTATTGAAGAACCAGACTAGCAAGACATCCGCTTCCCAATCTGCGTCCTCAAATGGCCATGCTCCTTTGGCTTCCAAACCAAAGTGTGCCCACAACTCCTGAATTTCCTTCTCTTGCTTTTTTGCCACGCTTACCTCATAACTGTCAGCAGATACGCTCATCACCCACAGTAAGGAAATTAGGCCATCAGGCAAAATTACTGCTTAACCTGTGAATTTATTTGCACCCTCATTGACTTTAGTTATTTCTCTCTGAATGGGAAGTCCCTCATTCTCATTTAAATGACTTCTTTCAACTCTGCTATGGGATTTATGGCTCCTAAGGGATCTGGCCCATCAGTAATCCACTACAGGACTGTCTTCTGAATTTTCAACTAGTCCTCCGGCTCATTCCCTTTACTCTCCCTGCCAATTTGGCGTTGTGGATCATTTCCCTCAAATTCCATGTTAAAACAGAATTACCCTTCTCAGGTCTGCTCAGTGCAGCCTCCAACCTGCTTCTCCCCCAGGGATCACTATTAGTATGTACATAACTGTATACGCGCATCTTTTCAGTGACCACTCCAGAAACAGTTTTCCTATGACTGGCACATCCTGCTTCTAACAGCCTTCCTTACTCAGCTTCCTTCATGCTGCCAGCATCTGTTTAGTTTGGATCTGAATGGTACCTGGTTTGAATATACGGATCCCCCCACTCAGTGGTTCCCGACATGGCTCACACTGTGGTGCAGTGCAATCACCAGGGAATAATAGCACACAGTAGCAGGGCCTGAGTGGGAGGTGAGGCTGGGCATGAGATTAATGTTCTCCAGATGGTTCCAATGTGTAGTCAGGGTAAACACCACTACTAGAACCGGATGTCCTAGCTCTAATCAATTTTTCTAGCTATTCCACATACATGTAACAAACAAGTCCTTTAACTGGCAAAACTATTCTAGACACTCAACGCCTTTGAAGAGTCCACACTTACACCTCGAGTCTCTTAGAATCTTAAAAAATGACAGGCAAGTTCCAGTTGAGGATCTCAACTCTGCTTCCCCTGCCAGCTTGACCTTCAGCCACTTTCTTCAGCATTCTGCTTTCAAACCAACCGGATTAAATACTTTGTAATCCCACCAAGGCCCCAGTTCAACCATCTGCTTTGCCACACACCTTTCCCTCTGTTGGGAAAATTCTACTCTTCTAGACCAACTCCTCTCTATTAGCGCTTCAAAATGGATGCACAAGTGTTCTGTAGTGCATGCAGGGCAATGCTGGATGCTCCATGGATGCTCGAGGCCCTCAATACAAAATGGCATAGCATTTGCATTTATCTTCCTGTATGTATTTATTTTGAAACAGGGTCTCAATATTGTATCCGAGGCTAGCCTCAGATTCGAAGCAATCCTCTTGCCTCAGACTCACAAATGCTGGGAGATTATAGGTTTATGCAACCATGCTTGGCTTTAAAATTTATTATCTTTTTGAGACAGTGTCTTGCTATATACTCAAGCAGGCCTTGAACTCCCAGCAATCTTGCCATAGCCTCCTGAGCACTGGAATTACAGGTATATGCCACCATGGCCAGTTCCGCATGTATCTCAAATCATCTATGTATAAATGTAATCCCCAATACACAATAAATGCCATGTAAATATGTGCTATACTGTATTGTTTAGAGAATAATGAAAAAAAAGACTGTACATGTTCTACATAAACACAAATTTTCAATGGGTGGTTCATTGGTCCTGGGTACTCAGAGGGCAGACTATTTCACACCATTTTTTCAGTGACTGTTACATGCTAGTCTGTTCCATATATAGGTAATATGATTGAAAATACAGCAAGTGTTTAAATTTTTTAAACCTTTATTACAGGAAAAGATATTGCTATTAACGCCTCTCAAAACACTTCCCCTCTCACTTCTACGCACTTATCCCATTGCCTGCCACTTTCTGAAGTAGCTTTGGAAGTCCTTTTTTGTGAGTATCTTTAGTTGCACAATGGCAATGTCCTCAATTAACTCAAACTGTTCACCTTTCCTTGTCATTGTGACTATGGGGAACAGGCAGAAGTTTCACGGTGCCAGAGACAGAGCAAGGTGCACAGGAACGTACTGTACAAGCCTGTCTTTCTGTTCGATGGCACTTGACAGCAACATTAACCATTTTTTTTTTTAGCCCACCTTGTTAAGACAGGAAAGAAGACTTCCAGGACTGCTTCGGAAAGAGGCCAGACAGAGAGAGGGCACTTCTGTAGATGGGAAGAGGACCAAGAGATAGCGGGAAGGGGAGAGGGAAAGGAAGGGAAGGGGAGGTAAAAAGAAGATACGTTATGAATGTGGACCAACTCTCTGATGACTGTAATCATGACATACTATAAACATGTACTAATAAAAACTTAAAATTAAAAAAAGTGGCAAGAACAGTGGGTATGTCTGAAGTAGGGAGTATTCTTTTGTTTTTTTTGTCTTTTTCCTTTTTATCGGTACCGGGGATCGAACTCACGACTACCTGCTTGCAAGGCAGGCGCTTATGCCGCTGAGCTAAATCCCCAGCCCCAGTAGGGAGTATTTTTAAAAGAATTTATGATATCTGGTTGTCTTGTTGTAAAGTGCTGTGTTGCTTGCATTGTTTTTTCTGTCCTCTTAAACATTAAAAAAAAAAAAAGAATTTATGGCAGTGGGTCTTGTACCATAACAAATTTTAAACCTTTTAAACATTCATCTTATCTTTTGATCACTCTACTGTATACACATACCCCAAATTTCATTACTGCCTCAAACAACAATGTGAAGCAGAGTTTACACTGAAGGACCTGAGGCTGAATGAAATGGAATAATCCGCAAAGCTCCCATAGCTAGTGCAGGGCAGCGTTCCAGATCAAAGCCTCTGCTACGCTGTCACCCTCCCCTCAAGAGCCGGCCCAGCACGCGTGGACCAGGTCCTGGACATCATCCCTCTTGGCTTCTCACAAAACTTATTTGTAGAAAACACTCAGTTCACAA